AAAAAAAAAAAAAAAAAAAAAAAAATCATAAATTGTTGGGGATGTGGCTCAGTCCTAGATTGTTGACCTATGGTGAGGTCCTAGTTCAATCCCCAGCACTGCCCACACAAAAAAATCCTCAAACCTTTACCCTCATTGTCACCATCAAATCAACCTATTAGTATTTGTACTTCAAAGAGATCCTTCAGGCACCTGGGAAGAAAGCAGCAAGCTATGTGCAGGGAGAGTCAGTGCAGCGTGTGTCTGGCATTGTCAGACCAATGCCTTTATATCCAGTGGGCTTTGTGTGCTGCATACAAAGGCTGCAGGCATGCAGTGTAGGAAGCTGTGGCACACAGGGCTCTGCAAGAGATGCAGACCTGTGCAGTGAGGCCAGCAGGTCAGCTCTCAGCACATGCTGCTCAGAAAGTTAAAACTTGCTTGGGGAAAAAAAATTTACCTTAAGTAGCATAGTCAACTGCTCCCATTTGAATGGAAACAGAACAAAGACAAAAAACTTGAATGAAGAATCAAACCTCGTGAGTTTTGGGGAGGAGAGGAGGTTCAGGGGTTGTTTTTTGTTGTTGGTAGTGGTGGTGGTGGTTTTTTTGGCAGTACTAGGGGTTGAATCCGGAGCCTTTGTATTAAAGTACATCCCCAGACTTTTCTTTCTGTCTTTTCTTTCTTTATTTATTTGTTTTTTCACCCCAACAAGGGCTCGCTGAGTTGCCCAGTCTGGGCTTGAACTTAGATTTTCCTGCCTCAGCCTCTATTTATTTCCTTTAACTTGAGCTCAATTAGAAATTTCCAGGAAAAATGATTTTCAGAAACTTAATGCTCCCATTTCACTTGTTTTTATTTTGTGAGGTGCAACAAAATTAAATTCTTTTGTTCCGAATAACTTGTGTGATTGTAGTTGCATAGTAGCTTTTACAAGCCACTCATAGATACATGTCCAGACAGGGCTATGTGGACAAAACAGTAAGCACACTGAAAATCCCCTGGCATTTAATGTGAGCTTCTCCTTGGTCCAGTCTCTTATCATACATGTACTTAGTGCTCCCCAAACCTGAGTCAGGGGCTGTTGCCATATTACAGGTCGGGACATGGAGGCCCCCAGTTTTACTTGGCTAAGGTCACCATGGACCAAGATTTGAGCTCAGCCATTGAACTCTTCAGTAACCTCTCTGCCCACTCCAGGAGCTTTCTTTTGCTCCTAGGTTATTCCTGGGTATTTTTTCTGCTTTGAACTTAATAATTTTTGTAAGCACGTAGTTATAAAACCAATGAAGGGCCGTGGTGCCACCGCCTGCCTCACAAGTTCAAGGACCTGAGTTCGATCCCAGGAACCAAAAACAGAAAAAAGAAAACAATGAAGTAATGACTTTGAAGAGGAAACTGAACAAAACAAATAACAGTCTGAAGAATTTGGGAGCCACTTAGTCCATTGCTGAGCATGAGTCTGGCACTGCCCAGCAGTAAGATGTGACAGGCTGCTTTCTTCCGGTATTTTCCTTGACTCTATTGCTCCATGTAGCTCATTGCATTTGATTGTACTTGTGTCTCCTGCCTGCCAGCAGCTGATGGAGTTAGAGGGACAAGGCAGGGTCTCTGTCCTTAAGAAATGGACAATGTGGGTCTGATGACTGTCTAACAAGAAGATATGTATGTCTTTAATCAGAATCCTGGTGGCTCATTTGTTTGTTTTACCTCTTGCCTCATGGTCATTACTCTTGAAGTTGTAGTCCATCAGGCTATGCAGAATGACAGTTAACCAGAGAGCTGTCTTCCCTGTAGTGAGGGAAGAGCCTAACCAATAGATTATATTTTGGATGTGCTGGATTTTATCTATTTTTTTAGGAGCTTCGGAGTCTGCTCAAGGAAAAATTAAAGGTGCCAAGATCAGCCCTCACTTCCATGCAAGCCAGAACATTTGCATGTGTGGGAACCTCGCAGTGCCCAGCGGAGGTCGGCCAGCACTGGCTCCAGTGACTGGGGTGCAGTGCATCCAGCTCCCAGTGCTGCAGGTAGGAGCCCCTGAGCCACATTGGCAGTTTAGCTCTTTAGGGGCAGGCTGGGTGGGAGAGGTAGCACCGTGTCTACGTCCCCTACCACCTTCTAGTAAAATGCCCCACTTCCCTCTAAACTGCCCCAAGTCCTTGTTTAACACCTCAGACAGCTTAATAACTCCCCGCTTCTCTCTTCTCCCCAGCCTGTCTCACTGCATCCGTGCAAGTTCTTACCTATGTTAGGACTGACGCATCAGGTTTGTGGCACTGTTATCCTGTGTCTATTTCCTCTATGCAGTCCATCTCCTACACCTCTCTGAGGTATAGATGTCTGTGCCCCTCTCTGCCAAGGGCCCCTGGGGCTTTCTTGTGCAGGATGAATTCTTTTTGAGGCTGGCTGTGGTGATGCCATGAAGCTGCTGATACCTGATACTGCCCTACCCACCCCCCTGAATCTATACTGTTTTCTGAGTGAAGGGGCTCCTTAAACCACACTGGACACCCTGTCTGTGAGGACTGCTCACCACCGCACCAGTAGGTGTAGCCTTCCTATGCTAAAGGTGGTAGAACCTTTTTATTTCAGTTCATTTTTCTGTCTTCACACACTGAGCCCCTGAAGATCAAACCCAGCTACCTTCTTGAGTCTCAGCAGATGCTTGATGTTTGCAGCCAGTTGCTAAGCATCTGCTGAGCATAGACCTTTCCACAGCGCCATGTACATCTGCACTTCCAGTCTCACATCTAAGGGGCTAAAAAGTAGGGAAGGATGAAATTTAGATGCAGAGAGATCTAGCTGACACATGTCTAAGTCCCACGCACCTCTTCATTGCACACAGGTGGGATCTGTCGATTACCCTGTAGTAAGCAAAGGCATCCACAGATATCAAGAAAGAGCCAAGTGCTGAGCTCACTCTGGTTTTGATACTTAAAAGGAAAGTTTAGAGACAAATGAAATCCATTGGGTCTTAGATGAGGCTTATGAAAGAAATAGGGCCACAGCAGCTATGAACAGTACATAGGGCTGAGGAATGTGGGAGAGAAGGGACTCAGCAGGTTAAAGGGTAAACTGGAGGCAGGCAGAGTGAGTGCCGGAGGAAACATAAACAGCTAGGTATGGTAGGGGGAGGCAGGGACTCAAACCTGTTCATAGAAGTGAGCAGAAAAACACGTCACTTCCAGGTTTGAAGAGGTAAAGAGTGCCCCGAGAAACTGGCAGCAAAGAGTAGAGACTTGGCTGAAGGGAACCCAGTCATAGCTGGCAGGTCAGAAGTAGAGAAGGCAAGGCCAGGAATTTGAAGTGAAGAGACTGCAGGAAAGGTGCTACCATGGGCAGAAAATGAGCAAGTTGGGAAAGGGATAGTGAGTGTTAGGGTCCCTCTCCGAAAAAGACACTCTGAAGTCAAGGAAACCTGGGTTTGAATCTTTAATCTGCCCCGTCAGCTGGTGTATAGTCTTGGTGAATTACTTAAGTACTCTGGCCTCAGTTTTGCCATCTGCAAGTTGAAAACAGTAGTGCACAATGTCTGACACCCAAAAGGTCTCGAGACAGTAGAATAGGAGGTGTGGTGAAGCAGCAGCACAAGACACTCAGAGTCATGGTCAGCTGTGGGCCAGACACGCATGTGAAAGACAAGTGAAGTGTACAAAGTGTCCCTTTTCTTGTTTGGATCATGGGTAATGTGGCTACCTCCGCCCCTCATGGGCCCCTCCATTTGCTCTGGTCCCTTCCACTTGGCAGGTGGACACACAGGGAAGCCCTCTGTGTAGCTTGACAAGAAACTGGGAGCATCAGTAAGGAATTCATGAACACTTCGGAGAAGGGAAGAAGGGAGCATTCAGGCTCAGGCCAAGGGAGAGAGTTTTGATAAAAGGAGGAACTGGGAAGCAGGGAAAGAACCAGACAGCAGAAGACTCTAGGCCCAATTTAACTTAGTCTTATGAGGCGTGGGCAAGGATCAGGGTGAGAGAGTAAGGCCAGGCAGGGGAACCAGTAGCCCCCAAATCCTGATGCCAATTATTGCCAGGTCCCTGGGCTACAGCTAGAATATGTAGGTGGGCTGGCTCTACTCAGCACCACAGAGAAGAGCAGGGCAGGATGACGGATCTTGATGTGCTGTGTTTAAACATGTGAAAGGCCTTTTTGACTGTTGCCTTCTCAGGATGATCCCTCAGGTGAAGGAGTCCTGCCGCTGGCCCTCAGCCCACAGCCCCCCACCTTCCACCCCTACTTCACCATGGATTTGCCTGTCTACGTCCTCCAGGTCTGGATGCCTTCCAACTCTTGGTTTTCTTATTGTTACTGTCGCATACAGATTAGTTGCTAAGGTAGGCCTGCTGTGAAGCTTTGATTGGGTTGGTGTCTTTCCTGCCTTTTGGAAAAGGTATGTTAATGGCATGGCTACAAGTACAGCTCACTGTTGCTCATAGTTTAGCATAGACAAGATGAAATTTAATAAACTCTTGAACTATTTTATATTTAAAAATTCTATTTACTTTCTCCTATGGGAAGTAAGATGGCCAGTTTTTACCTTGAGGGATAGACGACCTAAACGTTCAGTAGTAACTTAAGTAAGTGGTTAAGCTGAGACGAGGTGACCATGGATAATTTAGATTTGGATATGAAATAGTCAAAGTGGGTAGCTTATTAAATTTCTAACAGTTTGACTTAAGTGTATTTTTAAAATCTATTCACATAGTTTAGTTTTGTTACATTCAAATTGAGCTTGAACATTTAACATTGAAAACAAATTAATCAAATAAAGCAGTTCCAAGAGGCAGAAGGCCAGGTTCCTAGACAGCTGGAGGAGGGTAAAGTGGAGGATATTTTAGCAGCATTTATCAGAAAAACCTCAGAACCACGTACTCTTTCTGTCCTGCAAACCACTTATGAGACCATTTCTCAGGAAATTAGGTAGTAAAATAGCCAAAATCCACCACATCCTATATGCCAAAGGAGGAGTATTTCTTCCAGTAGGAGCAGGCAGTTAGACAGTGCGGGTGTGGTGCAGGCTCACCTCCTGCACCCCAAGACACTTTGCTGCTTACCACACAAAAGGGTTTGAAAGGATTTCAAAGCTAAACAAAGATGATTCCATTTTTCTAAAAATATATGTGGGTGCTTGAATATATGTGGATATAGAAAAAAATCTGGAAAATGTATAGTTAGTTGTTGAGTTCATTTGAGTTATTGACAGTTTGACATTTTTCTTTCAAGGGACACAGGTTAAAAATAAGGGAAGAACGTGTTTTGAATTAAGAAGTGAAGTGTCTTATTGCTGCCAGCCCCTCTGGGTTTACTTGCCTGTTGTAAGAAACAGCAGGGCTGGGTTCTGGCCTCTGCCCTGCCTCCCTCCTGTTTCCCTCCTCACTGCTCTGCTTGGCTTTACAGGAGGTGCTTCCAGCGCCTGGAGCTGTTGCTGGGCCTGAGGCTGCACTGGTGCCCGGAAGCACCATCAACCTTCGGGACCTGCAGTGACAGCAAGCCCTGCCTGAGTGAGGTCAGGGCGACCCTCCAGGCTGTGCTCAGTGGATGAAGTAGATGATGTGCTGCAGGGCCTGGGGACCCCCACTTGGTTTCTGCCTAGAAGTCCAGCATATTTCTTTAGAGACTAGAGTACATGTTTATCAAACATGTTTCCTGCTGTTTTATCAGGAACCAGTTGGGTGGGGCTGTACGTTTTAAAAATGCCTTTACAAGCACAGTGCTTTGGTGAGATGCACACTACTTTGTCCATTCTCAGTTGTGCGTTACAGCCCTTTCCCAAGATCCTGGTGGATCTGAGCTGTGTATAACACGTGTTGCATTCAAAGAGAAAAAGAAAAGATCTGTGCAAGAAGTGGGGTTAAGCGCAGGTTCCCTGCTAAAATACAACTTTGTCTGTAGTAAGTCCAGATGCAACCTTTCAGCTTCAGTGTTTTAATATTTTGCCCAAGAGCAATTTAGAAGTCCCACTTTCCTTTTCTGAGAGTTCACATAATGGGCCATGTCTCAACATGTTCAGTGGTTTTCGTGAATGGGTTGTTTTTGCCACACTGTAGGCCAAAATTGTCCCATTGCCACAGTGAAGCCAAATTCTGGTCCATGTTCTGGCAAAGCAGACAGGCAGCTAATTTAGGAAGAAAATGGTTGTTGTGTCTTGAGGCCTGACAGTGGCCTATTAGTGAGCCTTTTTCTAGAGCAAATTGATAGCTCACAGTTTGGGAATGGGATTGTTAAAACTTTTTAAATTTTCTAAATTCCATATTTGGTCCTTCATGAATAGTAATTTGACCACAGTTTATAAAGCAATGTTCTAAATACTGTAAATTATATGGAAGACTGTAATAGTATTCATATGTTTCCTATTGGGGTTGTAGATGTGCATATAATAGGTCTGCTTATATTTTTACACAGTGAGGTCTGTGGCAAAAGCAGCTAAGTTGATTCCCTTGGACATACTTGTTAGTTAAAGTGAATATGGGGTGACTGAGAAGTTTGTATTTCCTTGTGCCTTTTGAAGTGTGTGCTTATTCAGATGCTGTTTGATTCTCAGACATAGAGTCATCCAGACTTCCTTTTCTGGGTTTATTTCTCAGACTTTGAGACTTTAGCTTTCAGAAGGATGCCTAGTTCAAGTGTAAGTCCTCTCTGTGTCCTGCTTTGAGGTGCTGTCTGCTAGGTGCTGTTCCCTACAAAGGAATTACAGACCCATTTCACAGATCTTCATGCTGCATCTGAGACCCAAGTTGAGGGGTTGAATTTTCCCACAATGTTATCCAGTGCTCTATTCTCTGTAATGGAAAACAAGGCATCCTTTTCTCCTCCAGGAGGAGGACCTGCACCTAGGAGCCCATCCTGTAGGTAAGGCTTTGCCTTTCTCCCATAGTTCCTAGTAAGTGTCTACCATCAGGTGACTGGGACAGGCTTAGTGTTCTGGGACTGAGGCTTCCTCCCTGCTGGCCATGGGCCCAACTCCTAGTGAAAAAAAATAAAAGTTTTTGTATTATCACACATCAAATGTATTCATCCTGGCTTCATTTGAGGAACTACGTATACGTTGTTGAAACCATTTCATCTAGCCTGCTTGCCTCTGGCTTTTGTCTTGTGCGAATGACGGCACATATCCCAGCATGGATTGGCTTCTATTTCCCAGCTGTTTCAGATCAGAACCAACATCACAGTCCTTTTCTCAGGCATTTGCTCAGGGTCAAATGATTAGAGAAGAATGCTTAGAGTTGGTGATGGTGGCTGCTTCCTTAATCAGGCCATGAAGACATCAGAGAAATAAATTTATTTCAGGAAGCTTATAGGAGAGACTAGGGCAGAGGCAGGGTCCCTTCAGGTCCAGCCTGCTTCAGCTGTTGACCTCTTCTGCACTCAGCCAGGCCAGCTGTGGCCTGGTAAATGCTAAGTGAAGAAGAACAGCTGCTCCTCCTCATCCTTGTCCATCAGCGTGTGATCAGAGGTGTCCTTTACTTTGGGAGCTGGAGGGTGGGAGCGGCACACCAGTTTTCTGCCTCTCTGCAAGAGAAGTGAGCTTGGTGAGCTTGAGTTTTATGCCACCTTGTCCCAAGACTGTCATGCAGACACCACAATGCCCATGTGCCCCTTCCCTCAGTAGGGAAGAGGTCTAACATCTACTCCTGTGAGGCCAGGTTGGCCCAGCAGGCCAAGAGCTGGAGTTTTAAGTAACTTAGGAGTGTGGAGTTCATGCAGCAGTTTTCAAGCCTAGTGTGGAGTAAGCCTCTTAGAAGGGGTCACCTGGGAAATAACAAGCTAAACTGAGTGAACCCAGTTCCTTAGCTGTGGGTTTACAGAGGAGACCATGCAGCAGTGGTGGTAACCCATGGCACACCTCCCACAGCAGGCTGTTTGTATCATTAAAAGCTCAAGGTTCACCATCACTGCCCTACAGTGTTCACCCTTCCCTTACTGACATTTTTTTTTTCTCCACCTGCTTATCTGTCTGATGGAGAACATGCTCAGCTCCAGGCCTTCTTTTACAACCAGGCTTCCTATTTCAAAAAATCCTCAGACCAGCAGTAGGGGACCCCAGCAACAGATGATAAGTTTGGCCTGGGGTCTATAGTGGGGCAGTGGGACATGGTACTGAGCTGTGGTGCCAGCTGTGTAACCTGGATTATAGACAAGTACCTGACAAGTGGAAGGGTGATGCTGAGACCATCTTTGGCAGAATGTGTGTGCAGGAAAGAGACAGTACAGGCATAGGGCTGGGAAGGGCATTCTGAGGATGCAGCCCTGAGAGTGGGAGTGCCTGGCAGCTGAGACACTGCCCCACTTTGGCTTTGCTCTGTAAGAAGCTGCCTCCCTTCAGCCCCAGCAACACTGTTTGCAAAGAAGGTCTTAGGGGCTCAATCTGCAGGACCTCTAGAGTCCTTCCCTAGCAGTGACCTCAGTTATTCCTCCCTACCTTTTTCTTGACCTCAGCCTGGGCCCTGGTCTGAGCCCGCTGCAGTCGCTCCTCCTGCAACATCCTTTGCAACTGGACTTTCTCTTCCCGAAGCCTAGGTGGCAAGAGATGTCATGCAGTACCGTGGTCGCCCCCACAGCTCCTTTCCACTCCTGTCCCCACAAGGCCTTTGGGCCGGGCAGACCATGTCCAATATATAAAAATACACCCAACTCTTCTGCTCTTCGTGCCATGTCAGGGCTTTGCCACTTGCCTGCAGCCTAAGCACCACTGCTTCTGGTCTGGGCCCAGGGAAAGGTAACCAGGGCTCTGCCTGGACCTTGGCTTCTGCTCCTTGAGAGCTGGCTTTGGCTTCTACAGAGCTGATAGAAGATTCAGATTGGACACCCCCAAGGGGTACATTTTCTTCTATTCATATCCTCATCCCTGACTTGTGTGCCAATAGCCTCGTGGTCACCCATGGTGGCCCAGGACCCAGCTAGGACAGTGGCCCTGGTTCCTTCCTGCCATCGAACATTTGTCCAGTCCCCACTCAAAGCTGAGTGCTGCGGACTGACGGGAGAAGCCCTCATATTTGTGGGAGAAACAGACATCTGCAGAAGCTGTATCTCAGGGTCCTGCACTGACAAGAGAATGACCCAGGCAACCCAAAAGCTGGAAGGGCCATGACCCGCGTCTAACCTGGATCCTATGGGGTCCTCTACATGAACCCATGCCCACTTGTTCCACTAGACATGCAAGCTAGCACTTGTCTACCCCAATACTTGACCCTAACCCAGGGTTCCTGGGGACAACTGAGAGCCCCTGCACCCAGCCTCCATACCTGAACTGTTGTCAGTTGTGTGTGCTTACCCTAACGGTTGCTGCCAACCTCAACCCCATCCAACCCAAAATAAGTAACTAAATCCTACCTGGCCCTGGCCTTCCCCATGTAAAGTCCTATCCTGATGTCTCTGTCCTTGGGATCCAAGCTTTGCTGGCTGTACCCTCATATGCCCCTGACTTAGACTCCCATCTTCTCAGCCCCTGAATCCATGTTACCAATCACTGTCATCTCCAGCTAAGTTTGAGTCCCTCTCTGGTACACCAGACCCAAGATGCCATTTTACAGCATGGAGCGCTGGGAGGTGGGGTGGGGTCTGTCTCCCTAGTTCACTGTAGGGCAGTAACCATGGGTGCCATGGGCCTCCGGGCCAGGTTAGGGCAGGAGCAGGTATGGTAAGCAGCAGGGCAGAACAGCTCACCTCATGCGCCTTTCTTTCTCCTTGGCCTTCTCAGCCTGCTCAATCTTGGCTGGGGGAACACGCTCCAGGTTCTCAAGCAGCTCATCCAGCTGGTGCTCGATAATGGTCAGCATCTGCACGGTGCCCAAGTTGGCTTCCTGCTGGGTGCCCACACAGTGCCGGTACACATCCTGCACCTTGTAGCTCAGGCTCTCCAACAGCTTATCCTGCAGAGCAGAGCAGACTTCTGCTGTGCCCACACTCACACCTCGACCTGCTGGTACCAGCCCCCATGTCAATGGCTTGCTGACCTCCAGGATGAAGCAGCTGGAGTGGGTACTCAGAGAATGGTTCAAAACAATTTAGGTACTGGAATTTCTTAGCCAGACCAGCCCTGTCCCCACTGAGGCTTACTCCTGACTCAGATCCTCCCCTTGCTGCCCTGATAAGCCCACCAAGATCCAGTCTCCTCTCTGCCGGGGAGCCCCTTCCACTGACCCCAGCTCCCATAGGTCCGTGTCTTGTGTAGCCCAGGCAGTTGAACTCCCTCTTAGTTTGCTCTGACATTTAGAAAATAGTTAACAGCTCCTGCAATTGCAGTTGTGCATGAGGAGAGAAGAGCAGCAGGCAAAAAGGCCTGGGCTAGGCCAAGGGCAGAGTCAGTGCCCTGTGAAGCCTAGCTGAAGAGGTGATATGCCCACTTTTGATGTCCCTGGCCCAGTGGCACACAGTAGGCACTTGGCAGTATCATAGTGGATTAGGCCTCCAGTTGCTCTCCGTATGGGTATTGCTGAGCCCCTGGCCAGACCCCAGTTCCTGCTGCCAAGAATATCTCTAACCTCTTTCACCTCACAGTTCTCTCACACTCCCAGCCTGGCCTGAGGACACACCTCTTCCTCCGCCCCAGGGTTGCCTTGAAGGCCACTGTTTGTTTAAGAAGCAGACCAGATGGGCATGGTGCAAACAAGATGGGTATGGTAGCACATGCCTGTAATTACAGCACTCTGGGAGACTAAGGCAGGAGGACCACAAGTTCAAACCTAACCTGGGCAACTTAGTGATTTAGTGGGACCCTGTCACAAAATTAAAAATCAGAAAAGGGCTGAGGATGTAGCTCAGTGTGAAGGCTCTGAGTTAAATCCCCAGTATGGAGAGAGGGTAGGGTAGGGTGGGGGAATTTGTGGAGTTAACATAAAGGAGTAAACAGGCATTTGGGACAGCTGAGCGGGCACAGCATGAGTGCCTGGGGATGACTCCTTCTGGGGGAACCTTTTAGCCAGGCCCACAGAGCCTAGGAGGTGAGCTGGAACCTTGTACCTGGGCCCCAGTTCCCATGAGCTATCGTAACTGCTCTTGCAGTCACCTGCAAGTAAGTTGGTTCCCCTCCCTATATCCACTGCATGTCTACCTGCTGATCGCCCTTGTACTCCCCAAAGTGGAAGACTCGGGATTTGAGCTCCAGCTCAGCAGCAGTGTCCTCCTCCTTGGTAATGGACATCATCAGTGTGGTGATCCACTGCTTTAGCTGGTTGACTTCCCTGTCCCTGGATTGTGGGATGGGGTAGAGGATCGTTCACTCAGTGCAGCCCAGAGCATGTTCCCTTTTTGAGCCTGGCCCACCATCTGTATGGCCTTGTCCTGATGGCTACAGGACCATAAGAGGCCAAATTGTCTACATGTCAGGAAGTCGGAGATGCTGGTAGAATTGAGGGAATGACACTTAAAATCTTTATCAACATTGAGGAAAATCTAGGACCAGATGGCTTCATAGATCAGGTGACTTCTACCAAACATTTAAGAATTAACATCAATCCTTTTAACGCCGCTAAAAAAATAAAAAAGGAAAGAACATTCCAAGCTCAATACTGAAGTCAGTATTACCGTATTACCAAAGCCAGACAAAAGATACCACAAGGGAAAAAAAAAACTAGGACCAGCATCCTTGATGAACATAAATGTAAAAATCCTCAAAATTCACCAGCACATTAAAAGGATTGCACACCATGACCAAGTAGGGAACCTTGGGATTCAAGGATGGCTGAGCACATACTTATCGAAGTGACACATCACACGAAGGGGCCAAGCTTTTGAAGCACACAACTGTAGTCTCAGCATTCAGGAGGCTGAACCAAAAGAATTGATTGAGCCAGTTCAAGACTAACCTTGGTAACAGAACAAGACCCTGCCTCAAAAAAGAAATGGAGAAAAAATTACCTGACCATCACAGTACATGATGAAATCACATTCCGTACAATTAAGCATGCATGGCTTTTTGTATGTCAGTTATGCCTTAATAAAGTCATTTGAAAAAAAAAAAGTGTAATTCCAATTCAAACAAATGGTTTTACAAACAACCACTGTGACATTTATGAGACATTAGAAATTTTAACATATGGCCCCTAAGAATTAGTCTTTTTAACTGTAATGGTAGTATTACGTTTATGTATAAAAATCCTTACCCTTTTGGAAATGCCTACTAAAATGTCTACAGAGAATGTGAAAGTGTCTAGAATTTGCTTCAAAACGACATATAGAAGATAGGGAAGCAGGGGTCTAGTGAAACACTGGTTAGTAATTGTGGAAGCTGGTGAAGGAACGTGAGATCTGCTATACCATTCCACATTTTTATGTTTGTATGTTTAACATTTTCTCAGCTATTGGGCTAAATTACAGAAGTTATAAGATATGTCCCTAAAGATAATGGGAAAGACGATCTCTTTATAAATACCTGGGAACATCTAACCCGAAAATGTACAACCCTTTTATTTTAAAGTAGTTCCATTAGACATGAATAAAGATCATATAAAAGACCAAAAGAAACAGCATAATCCTACCCAAACAGCTGCAGCAACAAGAATGGAAATAGCATTAAATTAAAAACCCTATTCCCCAGCAAACTCAAGATCTCTGCTGCGCTGTCACTGACATTTAGGGTTCTGGCAGACACAGGGTAAAGCATGCATCCTTTCTACTTCCTTCATAAATACTTGGTTTCTTATTTTTCTTGCCCACTTCACCAGTTACTCTAAAGCTTTATAAAGTGTGTCTCAGAGCAGCCCCTCTTCCTGACTTCAGTGAGGTTCAGGGACCTATTGATCCACAGTCCCACTGACTTCATCTCCAGTTTGCTCATCCCTCATCTCATGGGATTCCTTCCACACATCACTTGTATGTGTCCTACCTGGGTCATTCCATCTCCTTGTCCTTTTCCTATAGTTCTGGGAACTTCCCCAGCTTATTTTTGTCCTCTTTTATTTTTTTCTATTTTATTTTTCTTGTGGTACTAGGGATTGAACTCAGAGTTATGCACATGCTGGGCTACATCTCCACTCTTTTTTTGTATTTTTATTTTGAGAAGGGTCTCACTAAACTTTCCAGCCTTGCCTTAAGCTTGAGAGCCTCCTGCCTTAGCCTCCCAAATACAGTGGTATCGTGGTTCACGAACTTTAGCTGTTTCCATGATTCTGGCTGCAGAATTTGCTCCAAAATTGTATTTGCTACCAAAATGCAAGTATATATGTATTATTCTTGCAATCTGGTTGCAACCAGAATGATGGAAAAAATTCTGGGACCAGAATCATGGAAAGAATTAAGCTCATGAATGAAGGCACCACTGTAGCTAGGATTACAGGCCTGTGAATGCCAACCTTTATTGTCCTTTGATTCCCTCACATTTGGCTTTGTTCAGACTTCTCATAATCTTAACCCCTGGGGGCTTTCCTGCAACCCATCAAAGTGACACATCAGATTCACAGACACTAGGAGCCAGGCACTATGGCACGCAGCTGTCATCCTATCTCCGAGGAGGCTGAGGTGGAGGAATCACTTGATCCCAGGTGGCAGGGATGTAGCATCTAAGAGAGGAATTAAAACGTCTTCTTTAATTCTTGCCGTATTTACAGTTACTTAGATTTTCACACTCATCTTCTTCATGAATCTACTTTTTTATGTTTCTTGGAAACATTTTCCTGGAAGTCGCCATGACTCCAGTGCCAGAAACTTAAGAAGAATTGTGCTGTTTTCCTTGAACGTTGAGCTGGACTCTGGGCAAAGGCTGATGTGACCGTCCAGTTCTCTCCTGAGTTGTGGAACCTTGTTTTCACATGTGGGTGGTGGCCACAGCGTGCAGATGTCTAGCATGACTGCTGAGGCTCAGCCCTCCCAGTAGGAAGGCTGGGCTTCTGCTGGATCCTGTCCTCCATATTTTTCTGACTTTCTGGTTGGGCTGGCTCTTCCTGGAGGAAGCCAACAGCTTTGTGGCGTCTAGGAAGTGCTTCCAATGTAAGTCATCTTTCTTTATCCCATGCTCCTTGTGGCAGAGTTCGGTGTTCCCTGTTCCTTGAGCCCTCTGCTCACCCTCCTCCTCTTGGTCCCTGTCTTGCCCACACTCACTCCGACTACTGATGAAGCAGCACAGAATGCACTGTGTCTGAAGTTATCTTAACCAAGTTCTGGGACACCTGTGTTCTCTTCTGAGTCCCAGATGCCATCTTTCTGGGTCCTTTGGCTGTGGCAAGGTTAGCCAAGAGCAGGACAGACTCAGGGAGGCAAGGGAGGCATACAGGGACACAACCCAGGGCGGCACCCACTGACATGGTGCACAAGAGCTCCTGTTCTCCCTGGCAGAGAATTAAAGGATGCTCTGTCCTCTTGACCAAAGAAGCAAGAGAGAAGCTCATGCTGTGACTGTTAGGCACCTGCACTCAGTGTCCAAAGGCAAGTGACAACACCTTAGATAATCCTAAGTTTGTCAAGAATGTATAATTTATATATCATAAAATACACCCATTTTATGTATACAGTTGAATGAAGTTTGACAAACATATACCTGTGTGAGCACCAACACAACACAGAGCACGGCCTTCACTTCAGAAACTTCCTCATGCCCATTTTAGTGTATTCCTCCCTTCAACGGCCTCAAGAGCCCAGTGGGCTGATGGCTGTCCCTGCAGGCTGTCTCTGTGGTAGGCAGATTTTAAGATCCCAGTACCACCTGCCTCCTGTGGTTTACCTGTTTGAGCGTGCTGAGCCTAGTGACTTGAGTCCAAGCAATGCAACACAAGATGGAATTGTTAGCACACAAGGCTTTGGTCTGCTCACCACATGACAGAAGCCAGTTAGTCAAGGATGGCAGAAAAAGAGTTGCATAATGATGAGCTGATCACAAGATGGGAGAGCAGCTGAAGGACCTTCCCGCCTGGGAGATGATTTAGGAGTACTATACATACAGGTGGCTGATGGGTAACTGCAGACCAGTAGGTGCCTTCTCACTGATGAAGGATCCAGGTTTCTGGCCAGATGAAGCATACTTGGTCTTAATCACCTAGTCACAAGATGTTTTTCAGTTCTGTCAGTCTCAAGAAACCCAGTGATTATTTCTGTGATTATGTCTTCAGGCTAATCCAGTTACTGATTTAGTATACCTACTCCCACATAATAGACAGGATAGAGCAGATAGCTTCCCAGAGAAGAAAGACAAGGGTCAAGGGAAGTAAAAAGAAACAGAGTTAGGTGCACAAAGGGTGAGAGAGACCTTAAATACTTGGCTTCAGTATCCCACTATCAGATGTCTATTCTATAACTCTGTGGGATATAGGTCAGATCTGGACATTTCCTGCTGAATGAAGACATCAAAAGAAAAATTAAAGTGGAACAACCAGCCCTGATGGGAAAAGTAGCTTCTGGTGCCTCTCTTCAGGTGGATTTAATATTGATAGCTGTTTGGGGACAGATTTTTCTGTCCAAAGTCATAAAGTAAAGCACATTCTCATAAATAGCTAAGAAACATCAGAACTTCTACCCTTCTTTGAGATATCTGGACTCACTCTACTTCCAGGTACTCCTGTAAAGAATACCACAAGCTTAGTCCATGTTCTTAGCCCATCAGCTTCAGTTCCCATCAGCACGCTTACATACCTGTAACAGAGAACATATGCCATAAAGCATTCATAGCAGTCAAAAAAAGGGGGAGAGTAGGGGCCGGGGATTTAGCTCAGTGGTTCTGCTGCCTGCCTTGCAAGTGCAAGGACCCGAGTTTGATACCTGGTACCAAAAAAAAGGGGGGCGGGGGAGAAAGTAAATACAAGTGTTGACATCTTCAACTACTTTGGGTTGTCTAAAAGCAGAACTCAACTTAAACCAGGTATGGTGTCACATATCTATAGTATCAGCACTCTGGGAGACTGAGGCAGGAGGATCACAGGTTTCAGCCCAGCCAGGACAATTTAGCAGTTTAGTCAGGTCATGTTTCAAAGAGAAAGGTTCAGTGAAGGCTCCGGGTTCAATCCTAGTAAAACACACACACACACACACACACGCACACACACACACTTAAAGAATTCCAACAGACGTGGATGTCCACTGAATGTCAAAAAAATGCTTATAATTCCCACCATTCTGTAATAACCAACTATCATTCACTATCTACGTTCCCCACCTGCAAGATTTAGAATCCATACCTGAGCCAAAGCCTCCATCAAAACCACTGCCAGACCTTGCATAGGATGCTGATTCCCAGCCAACTGTGGCCCCAGAATTAGAACCA